GGGTGTACTGCTGAAGGGGAAGGGACTGGCCTGTAATTGGAAAATCCCTCTGTCGCCTCACCCTTCCTTAATGCTAAGCAAATAAAACAGGCAGCCATCTTTTAGGACCCCAGGAAGCACCAGGATATAGTGGGATGATACAGTTTGAGCAGGGGTTAGACTAGATGACCTCCTGAGGTCCCTTCCAACCCTCATTGTCTTTGATTCTGCAAGGGTAGTGCAGTGGGTACTGGCAGTGCAAGCCTCCTCGGCCTGGCACCCGTATGCAGTTCTGGAGTCAGCCCTACGGTCACCAGTAATGGGGAGAGCTGGGAAGTTAGTCTGTGGCCCCTTCAGTCCTTGGCCCACCTGCTGTAGCTGCTCAACAGAGAGCTAATAGCAACAGGGGAGGTCTTGGATGTGGAAACATCTGTGCTGAGCACTGGCCTAAGGCTGTGCAAACACATTGTACTCTGGCCTCAGGGTTGCCAATTGTGCATAAATTTACAGACAGACACCATCCATAAAAAACAAGGCTAAAAATGCCTGTCTGTAAAATCTGTGAAAAAGAGCCATCCTTAAAAAAAAAAGCAACTAGGAGTTTGAGTAAGGCTCCATCCTCTAAAAAAGCTGGAGGCAGTGTTGGAGGACAGACAGAGCAGAGCAGCATCACTTGGTGTCTGAGAGAAAATGCTGAACCTTGTCTGCCTATGAACCCTGAAGGGAGCTTTTGTCAGGGTTTTGTGGTCCATGAAAGTCTCCATAGCTCCCACCCCCCAGCCGTGTGTGGCTGTATCCTGTCTCCTGCCTGTCATACTGCTGGGTTGTATGTAGGCACAATAGGTAGGCACAGTGCGCCCCCCCCCCCTTCTTTGGGGGGCTGGCAGGGAGGGCAGCATGGTGTGGAGTGTAGCTGGGGCTTCAGAATATGAGGTGTAGGAGTGAATAGGGGACCCCAGGGTAGGGGCAACATGGTGTAAAACCATTGCTGCAGTCAAGCAGGGTTGCCAACCCAATAAATTTTTGTATGCACAATCTACAAACTTTTTCCTAACAACCAAATATTATTACTGTGGTTGGCGTTAAACCTTAAATTTGAACCCACCCCTAGCAGAAGAGTTACATTTATATTATGTAGACCACATATTGAAATCATACATCAGTAAAAAGTTTGCAGACTGCCAGTAAAAAAACCTGGATGGTAAGATCCTGGGGCAGTCAGTTCCCAACTGAGAAAAAATTCCTTTTGGCAAAGAGCTGCAGCAGCTCAAACAGGAATTTGCTTTCCAGACTTGCTGCAGCCTCCAGTGCTGCAAGGTGGCCTGGGCCTACGCAACTGCCCACTATGTGACTTTCCTTCCTTTCAGATGTTCACCACCACTCCCCAGGGACCTGCTCAGCCCAGTGGCACCTCCTGGTCTCCAGTGCCAGTCTCGGCACCATGTTCCCTACAGCACCTGATTCTTTCTTTGGGGTCCCCTACCCAAGTGCAGACCTAGCCCAACCTTGCTTATCTTACGGGCTCTGGCCCAGGGTAGTGCATGAAGTGACTTGGTTAAATATGACATATAGGTGAGCTGAGAGACCAGGACAAACCCTTTGGAGAACATTGTGGTTTCCAAATGGGAATCCCCACAGAAAAAAAAAAAAACCTCTTCTCTTCCCCTGGGTTTGCCTCTCCTTCCTCTGACTCTTTCCTTTGCAGTTTCAGAGGGTCACCTGAAAGCATGTGCAGTGCTATCTCCACCCCCATCCACTAGTTTTTCTTTCCCTTCCCTGTGGCTTCATGACCGTTTTTCCCCTTCTTGGTCTTGTATCTCTGTTTTCCCACTTCCGTAGCAGGGGACACCCACACACTATCTCCTTCCCCAGCCCCATGCTGAAGCCTATTTATATAGAAGCCCTTGTCTCACTTAGCCCACATGACAGTGCAGGGGCTGCCAGCTCCTGGAGCCCATCATGTCTCTCTGTGGCCACCAGCTGTCTGAAAGAGGATGCCTACTGCTCTGGCTGCTCCCGTCTGTTCTCAAAGCACAGCTCAGTGGGGAAGTGAGCCCACAGCCTCTGCCCTGCCAGCAGGTAAGGCTAATCACCCAGGATCCTTTGTGATTTGGTGGCCAAGCCAAGTCCCCACTGGGGACTTGATGGGTTTTGCTCCTTGTGTCCACCCCTGAGGGCCTCACTCAAGGGCAAGAGTTTAAAGCCAGATGGTAAAAATCTCCCCCATCGCCTTTCCGACACTGAGCTCCTCAGTTTTGTGGCACTCATGGGCCCATCTGTGCAACCTCCCCCTTTGCTCCTTCTTGTAGCTCTCTGCTACAAAGACTCGCAGGTCTTTGAGCCTCAGCTTCAGCCTCTGCCTGGTAAGCTTCTCCTCCTCTCCCTCCTTCTCTTGACCAGTAGCTTTGTGCCCAGGTACTTTCATTTCATCCTCCACATTGCTGTTGCCCCTCACTTGCAGCAGCTGCTAGCAGTCAGGCACTGTCCCAGGGAAGCAGCTCAGCACAGCTCTAGCTGCTGTGTCTATTAGAGGTGCAGTACAGAAGCTGTGGACATGAGGCTAGGAGGCACCACCTCCCGGGATGCATTTTGTTACCCTTGTACTCCGTCCAGCCTTGCTCACCTCCTTCCTGTGACCCAGTCCCTGGGGCACTTTGTTGTGGAGGGAACGGTGAAACAGCAGAGCTAGAGGTACTGGGGAGAGGGGTCAGAGCAGAGGGGCTGAGGAGACTGCTTGGATCATCTTCGGTGCAGGATGGTGGCTTTCCTCTTCCTTGGGAGACACTGTCATGGTGCAAAGCCCATCCCAGGTCCCCCTAGGGCAGGGAGAGCTCTAAATACTAACCTTCCCTTCACAGAGCCACGATGCATCTGGTGCTAACACTGGACACAGTCCCCTGGCATTCACACAAGCGAATCTTGGAGTGTTTCAGACAAGGAACAATGCTTGTGGTTCCCATCCAGTGGCTCTGATGCCTATTTGATGTTCATACCCACCTTCTCACTCTGCTTAGACAGCGGCTGCCAAAAACTAGCTGAATCACTTGACATTTGAGGGCTGGCTGCGGCTGCCAAGGGCTTGTGGTTTCTCATTGTGGAACCAGGAATGCCTAAGTAGGTTTAGCTAGAGACCTTCTTGCCTGCTCCACATCTCTTTAAGGGCTGAGCTTGGGGAGTGGCACCTGGCAGAGTGGGGTCATCTGGAAATGCAGCCCTATGTAGCAAAGGCCCTGGAGAGCAGCTTGCAGCCAGGTGACTGCAGATGATTGGCCTGTAATGATGATGATACCTATGCCCTCTTCATGAATGGCTCTGGCGTTTTTGCCTTGCTTTTCTTAGTAGTAGGGGGGCATGGATGATGTGTGTAGGAACTACAAACTACCAACCCACTGCAGGCATGGGAACTGCAACCGTCCTAGGAGAGAGGACCTGAGCAACACAAAGCAATAAACTGGGACTTTCTAGTGCTTCTGCGAAGACAGCAATGCAGCTCCCACTTTACCTGAGAAAGTTTAGTCTTGAGTCCTACCACTGCAAAAGTGTTTTCCATCCACTGACCACTTGTTCTTGGGCTACAAGCAGTGTGTGAGAGTCTCATGCCTGGATCTCACCCCACAGTACTGGATTTGGGAGTATGGGACCTATACTTGTGTCCTGAAGGTTGTATGCAAGACAAATCCCAAACACCTGGAAAGTGGATATTGTGGGGGAGCATCAGAGCTAGGCAGTGCTGAAATGAGGTGTGAGCTGTGCTTGTTCCTTCTGTCATTGATGGCTTTCCCTGTTTCTCCACAGACCATGCCTCAGGTGTCATGTCAAGGTTTGGGTCTCCGCACATTCCCAGAGCAGCTTGGACCTGGGGTTAAGCAGCTTGACCTGTCAAACAACTTCATCCGTAACCTGACAGAAAGCTGCATTTCACACTTCAGGCAGCTGGAGCACCTGAATATACGCTTCAACCAGTTGGAAACTGTGTCAGAAATGGCCCTGGCTCATCTCACTCATCTTCACACTCTCCTCCTGGCTGCAAACAACCTTGACCGGAATTATTTCACCAATGGAAGAGCCTTCAGGTGGCTGAGAAGTCTGGAGACCCTGGACCTTTCAGCAAATAACTTGGACAGTGATATGGCAGCCTGGTACTTCAGTAATCTCACCTCTTTAAAGAAGCTGGATCTGTCTTGGAATGAAATGACTAGGCTGCCAAGGGATGTCTTCCAGGGTATGCTGAAGCTGAGAGAGATCAATCTTAACAACAACTTGATCATGGAGATAGAAGAAGGCGCATTTGAGCCTCTGGTAGGCTTGAAGGTGGTAAATTTAGCTATGAATTCCCTTCACTGTATCTCAGGCTTCAGCCTCACACAGCTGCAAGTGCTAAACCTTAGCTACAATGCCCTGGAGTTCTTTGCCTCAGAGCAGGGGGAGGAGATCTACCAGCTTCAGATACTAGATCTGAGTCATAACAGCCTGATCTACTTTCCAAAGCTCCCCAAGGTGCACCACCTCACACACTTAAACCTCTCCAACAATGCCATCATCTCCTTGGCACCAAATTCTACCACTACAGCTGAGTTCACCCTGTGGCATGAAAAAACAGTGAGACCTAACATGTCCTTGGATGTTTATAATATAGCTACTAGCCTGGCAAAAGTGACTGACTTAGATCTCAGCAATAACCAGCTGAGTTTGTTCCCATTTACTTTCTTTCACAATCTAAGCTCTCTCCAAAATCTCAATATGGCTATGAACTGTCTCCAGGATATCACCATGGAGTCTTCTCATGGTGATATTGAGAGCAACAAGCCAGTGGTGATGCAGGGACCTGTCCTCTCTGTGTGGTCACTGGATCTCCAAAGCAATTCAATTCATTCTTTGCCACGCTGTTTTTTTGATATGATGCCCAAACTGGAAACAATTGACCTTGGTTCCAACAGCCTCCAGCCTTGCCAGAGCTGTGACACTAATGAAAGAGAAGTTCTTATGGAACATAACTCAGCTCACAAAGGTAAGTGCACATCTTTCTGCAGCATATCTCACTTGAAGCATCTAAGTTTACGTAGGAACAACATTGTCAAGCTGTATCCCTATATGTTTAACCAAACCTCTTTGGTCTCTTTGGATCTGTCTGAGAATGAAGGCTTGTCCATGCCAAAAGGATCCCTGGACAGTTTGGAATTTTCTTTGCAGAAGCTGTCTCTGAGAGGGAACCAGATGGACAACTACATGACAGAGTTGCCTTGTCTAAAGAGGCTGGAAATTGTAGACTTGTCAGACAATAAGCTAAGTCATTTGCCCCCTGGCCTTGTATGCTCTCCCCTGGAACACCTGGACATTCGCAGTAACTACCTTCAGGACTTAGAGAAACCTGCCACTGCGCACTGGTCTAGCAGCCTCAGATATCTGTTTGTTGCTGGCAATCCATTCAGCTGCTGTGCACTGAACTGGCTGGATGTTTTACAGGCGACCAGTGTGCGTATGCTGGACCTGAATGAAACACTGTGCTTCTACCAGGATCAGAACAGGACCTTATCTGTCAAGATAACTAGCAACCCTAGGCACCTCTGTCCTGGTCAGAGAAAAACTAGCTTCCTAGTTGTCCTGTTGTTGGTGATGGTTCTCTGCTTTCTGTTTCTCACGTCTGGGATATACCACCTGAAAAAGCATAGGAAGTTACAAAAGTACTTGGGATTCAGAAGCAATAGAGTGGACCCTATTCCTTGTCATCTAGACAGAGAGAAGAAAACTCAACAGGTACCAGCAGACAGTGTTACAAAAGTATAGTACTGCATGGAAGAGAGGGAATAATATCTATACGCACAATAATAGTATTGTATATCAGGCACCTTCTTGTCACTGATCTCTTCCAGACTTCACATAAGGCAATAAAACATGAACTATAAGAGTGCAAAATCAGATCTATGTGCTGTGCTCCATCTTGCTGCATGTATGCCATTTTTGTCACCTCTGTGTAAGGCAAGTGAGGCTGGCAGTAACCTGCTTCATCTTGGGAAGGAGGAAATGCTGGTCGTGGAATCCTTGGAGTCCTGTAGAAAGACTTCCCCCAGGTCTGCCCCCCTCCCTCACTTTTTCTACCTGAGGATCCTTTGCCATGAAACCAAGGCCCAGGCTGTCTGAAGCAATCTGCCTCTTCTGCCCCTCCTTAAACCCATTGTCTTTTTTTGAGAAGATCATTCTACAGTAATGACCCCAAAACCAACAGCTCCTGGTAGCAGTGATGCAGCTGTGGGTGTGGAGGGAGGGGCTGGTTTCTGGGTACTGTTTGACATCAGTCACTACCCCTTTTTATCTCTCTTTCCCCAATTTGCATCCAAACACTTCTGAGTCTGTGCTTCTTAGAATTGCCTCTGAGCAGCCCAGAGCATGTGGGAAGGCAGCTAACCACAGTCGTGGGCAGCACGAACAGTCTACCTCAGCACCAAGAACCTGACAGGAGAAGTCTCAACCTCTGTGTCTGGTGTCCACTCAAGAGGTAATAAGGTTTCCAAACTCACGAGCAAGCCTTCAGGTGTGGTATGCTCAATTTTTTCGACTGAGCCAAACAAGTCGCAGGTCAGGAAGTGTCATAAAGCTGCAATGGCAGCAACAGTCTGTGACATCTCCCTTAATTGTGAGTCATTGCTGTGGGGTAGTCTTGCTCCAGGGAAGACAGAGCCATTTCTGAGGAAGCTACTGAGACCACCAGCATTTATGTCTAGAACTTGCTCCCGGTGCTTATGATCCCAAAAATCAGCCATCTATTTAAAGGGCTGAAGGCTACATGCTGTAGGGCAAGTAGAAGAAAGTACTGATCAGGACACAGTGAGATGGGGCTTCTGATCCCATAGTACCAAAAGGGCTGATCTGTAGCTGCCCAGCCTGCCCTGCCTGGACTCAAGCCAGGAATCAAAAGCTCTCTAGCTGGGCCGGGTTGTGCAGAGCTCTGACTGACTTGGCATGTCTTCTCATAGGGACAGGAGTGAGCTTGGAAAGGGCCTGAGATGTCGTGCTACTTAGTGCCAGGGCTTTCTGGTGTGTCCACCCCTTCACCTGTATGCCCACACACAAGCAGTTACTTGCAGGGTCCAAGCCAGTGCAGGTGAAGAAGAAAAAAGGTTGCAGAGTCTGTTTCTGGCTTTTCAGGTCACTTCAGTTCTAGTCTTTACAACCCCCAACCTAGTCCCGTGTAAGATGCCTGGACTACTCACAAGGCTCGGGCTATACTCAGCTGGTGCTGCAGACAGCAAGTGGAGCCTTGGAGAGGACTAGAATTATTCATTAATTGCCTGTAAATGGATTTCAACTTTTTATTGGACAACAAACAGCATGTTTCTCCCCCAGACGTTTGCCTTGGGTCTATACAGCTATGACTGCTGCCTTCTGTGCCAGGACAGACTATCAGCCTTGATCATAACTGGAAAATCCCTGCCTTGTGTCCCCACCCTCTACCCCTCAGACACACACAGCTGCACGTACTAGGTTTATATAAAACCCAGCCTTGTTCCCATGACATCTGTATTGTATTGCTTGGTCCTGTATATGTTCAGCTCATTCTTGTTCCTGCTCTCATCCCCACCCCTCCAGCCCCAGCCTGTGCCTGCTCCATTTCCTGCTCCAATGTGTGCCCACACTAACGGAGTCAGTGATGATGAAGCACTTTCAAGCTAGGTACTGGATAAGAAGCCAAAAAGCAGCAGGGAGCTCTGTTTCCACTGATCACTCTTGTGTTTCTCCCTGCCAGGCTCTTTTGTTGTACATGGATTTGTCAGCTTGCTCAAATCCAAAGCTCTCTGGCACACACTGTGCTTTTGTGTTTGTCAGTAAAGTGTTGTCCATACGCCAGCTGTGTTTATAAATGATCAGAACCAACCAGGCTTCCGGCTGCTCTCATGAGCTGAGATTTCTATGCAAGAGAAGGTAACTGAGAAGAGGCAGGCGCTGTCTACATATTGAGGTTGTGGTGACATCAGAGGGGCTTCATGGCATTTTCTGGACCAGACCCCTGCTGTTGATTTTGATGAGTGTCCTGATACTACCTCGACTCATTTTGCATGGCCTCTTTGTCAGCTGTATCCCTTACTGAACCCACTTCAAGGCTGTCCTGTCTATGCGTTTCATCATACGCAGATTTGGCTTTTACACAGCATCTGTCCCTTCCCTGTGCAGAAGACTTCAGCACCTTATGTTCTGCATACTCTGACACAGGGCAGCTCTGCTGTGCCCAGCATCAGAGACTTGCTAGCAGTTTTTCCAGTGCCCAAGAACGAAAGCAGCTGCCACCTTCCATAAAAAGGGACCAATTACAGGCACCTTTGCCTTTAATCTGAAGGAACAGTCTGGGGAGACTGCACCCATCTCAGGCTGTGAGAGTCACTTGAGTTAAGATAAAGTATTGCATTCGTTCCTGTAAGTTCCCTGGGACATAGCTGTGTATCTGAGATAATAGTGGCTGCAGCTGCCTGAAAAACTCTTGTGTGCTGCCCTTGCTTCAGGGGCTATCTTGTAGCACGTCTGCCCTGCTCTAATGCTGGAAAAGATGCGAGAAACAATCTCCAAAGGATCAAAGTGCTTTATTCCCTGCTGCCCAGTTTATCAAATACACACTTGGGATATAAGGAAGGGGCAAGGTTTTCCCATAACCCTTAGCACTTACACAGTGCAGTGTCAATTGAGCATTTTACAGCCATTAAGGCCATGTTTCTGTGAGGATCTGTGGACTCTGTGTCCAATGTAACATTCTGGCTAAAGTAATGGAGTTCATGTCAGGAGATGGCTAACCTTGGTTGGATGGTTGGTTGGTTTTATATGTCTCTTGGGTTATAGAGCATAATGCAGGGACAACCAAGCTAGCTCTGAACAAACCTGTATAGACATAGTACTAGGATCCACTCAAACTAAAGAGATTTTACTGAAAACCAGCTATGCTGCATCTGATGTTCAAGCCAACTTGATTGGAATTAGCCCAGCTCTCTATCCATGGCACTGCACTGTGCGAGCAGATATATCCTGCGTGACTGTCTCTCAGTTGTTGTTGACAAATGTTGCCATGTCCGTCCCTGAGCAGGGCCAGTTTCTAACCCTTCTATTGAAGTGAAAATGCTCTGGAGCAAAGAATTAGCTGAAGTCAAGGATAATCAATGTTTTCTAACATGTCAGTAGGCCAGGGGTTTGAAGCACTAGAAAACCACCGAGGGCAGAACAAATAAGATATTAAAAGGCAGGTGCGTAAACTGGGAAAGACTCACAGAAATGCAGGAAGCTTTGAGAAGGAGAGGGAGAAATATACTTCCTTTGATGGACAGTGGGCTGGTTTCAGTTGAAGAATGACCTGAAGTCAGAAAAGGCAAGCAGAACGGGGAAAACTCCATGGATCAGAAGACAGGAGGTGAGGTGCAGAAGGAGGATCCTGAAGAATCCCAGAGGACAAGGCCCCAGTCCAACGAATGTCCCAGAAGGTAAGAAAATTAAAATGGAAATGCATATGGGGTTTATTGTTTTTGTGCAGACTTGTGTATTTCTTGCCCTTCTTGGTAAAGAGCAAGGGTTAGAATCATAGTAAAGAGTCTTAAAATTCTGTGCAAGTGATTGTGTGAATGCTATGCGCTACTTTATCACATGCCTCAGAAGAGGTAACCTAATTCCAGACTGTGCACATTACTAGAATTTTAGGAGAGGGTGTTTAAATGGTGTTGTGAAGGTCAGCACCGGTCCTGAGACTCCAAAGCAATTGGACCATGGGGCTTCACCTCCGGGAAAAGGAACAGACAATCAGAAAAAGTGCCAGAGAAGCCAAGGGAACAAACAGTGTTGAAGCCTCCTAAGGCCAATGAAAGGTTGGAGCACACCAGCCCACTGGCTTGAGACCCACCACAGGGGTATCCAACAGGCAAGTGCTCAGCCAGACTGGTGTTGTTCTTCAATGGAGTTAACTAACAGGAGGCAAAATGTGAATAAAGACAAAGCAGTTTGCAATACCAATGCACCGTAACCAGTCAAGGGAAACTCTAGGTTCCCTTGCTATTTTTCATGTTAAGTGGCTTCCTACAGCTGAGTAGAATATAGTTTTCTCCAGGCACAAAAAGGCCTGAGATTTCCAGTAATTTTCAAGTTAAAAAAATCAGCAAACTGAAAAAAAGAAAAACCCCAGTTCAGGTCATTTTTAATTATTTTAAATGTCTTTATTTGCCACTTGCTGAGATTTTGAAGCAAACAGTTGTTTTGAACTGGAAAAGTAGATTTTTTTGTTTTGGAACCGCCCAAATGAAATGCTCTAGTAACCTCAGAACCGTCTTCCAAAGTTTTCATGTTGAGAAAAACAGCAAAACTGATTCTTTCCTGTGAATTGTTTCAGACCTTTACACATCAGCATTTTCCAAAGGGGAAAAAAAGTTTTTTTGTCAAAATGTCCAACCAGCTCCATGGTTAGTTCATGTGAATGCAGCCAACTGCTTGTCTTCAGTAGTTTTACCTCTTGTTAGCTAACCTGAGTGAGAAACATAACCCTTGTCCCCGCAAAAAAGGTCTAAGTCAGAGGTGTTAAACTCCTCCTGAGCCCTGGGCCAGATCTAGACCATAGGGATCCTCACATGCTGGATCCTGTCTGGGGCCTGGGGTGGTGGCGGTGGCTACAGCAGATGGCCACAGGCACAGGCTGACCATTGCTCACCATTGGCTACACACCTAAATTCCCTGGCCTGCTGGTAGTCCGATGGGCTCTGTAGAGTGGCTCCGTGGGCCAGGTCCTGCCTGCAGACTGAATGGTTGAAATCTCTCATCTAAATGAATCTCCCAGGCCTTGTGCAACAAGTGAGAGAGCATGGTTGTGAGGTGATCAGTGAATAGGCAGTTGTCACAGCCTCTTGTACTCTTTTCTGGAGTCACTGGGTCTGGAAAACCCTGCTGTGTTCGTGAAC